TTGGTGAAACCTGCAGAAACCCTGGTTTAAAATATGTCAAAAAACGTGGAAGTCCCCAATTTTAAATGTGCTAAATTTTCTAAGTTTGTATTGTTTTGATTTTGCTATTGCTATTATTTTTATTGTGTATTTACTTGAACTGATTGTTCTAGCTGTCGTGGGGTCCATTCTTCGTACGTGGATTACTCAGTTAGCTGGATTTGGATATTGACGATTTGACAAGAACCAGGATCGTTTCATTCTTCAAAGCTGATCCGAGAGCTGTTGTCATAGCAACAGTTCTGCTAGGTCAAACCTGATCGGGAGCAGGTTCAATTCACATAAACAGAATTAGATCGGCTTAGTTCAAACAAAGATAAAACAGAAAGTATGTTCTGAATTCTGATATTTTCTTACAGTAGTAGTTATATACACTTGGGAAAATGCTACATATTTTTTAACTATATATATAAAGTTATAGTTATTAATAAAATAAATAAAGTTATACATATTAATAAAACTTATGCAATCTGCACCCTCGAAATGAAAGTACAAAGACTGTCACCTGGTGGTGCAAAGAGAAAACTTATTTATATGAACTTTTTAGATCGCTTTAGTACAAATTGTGTATAATAGAAATGCACAATATGTGACTTTTTTTTTTTTAAGCAATAATACATTTATGCAGTCATAAACATGTTTTGATAGTTAATATGCCAGTGTTTTGATGCTTCACAAAAGTTGCAGAAGCCTTTACCAATATGAAATTGCTTTTGTAAACAACCAGTTATTCTTTACACCGAATAAAAAAATCTTTTCTAAATGTAGAACTAAATACATTGATTTGCATTGAAATACATGATGAATACTCTTGACACATGAAAGTGGAAAGCCTGCAGCTCACAACAAATGTGGAAGGTTATTGCGTGTCATATTTAACGCACCGTTTACTGCTGCTAATTTGATGTAATTTTGCTCACATGGATAATTGAATATTAATCAGATGATGACATTACGCTGCTGTGCAGTCAGCCAATCGTTGCATTGCTGATCATGATTTCGAGGATCGATAGATCTGTCCTTCACAACACACGCAGCGATCTCAGATCAGTTCATCCAGACATTCTAATCTGATTCGCGAACTTGTTTGAAGAACCAAATTAGCGAGAGATCAGTTATCAAGATTAAAAGATCCAGGATCTGCCAAATCATCTTAGATCATTTAAGCGAGGTAGTAAGAACGGACCCCTGTACGGTGACCATGAGTGTAATGAAAGGCCCCTTTAAATAAAATGCATTATTATTGTCTGCAAGCATCAGTGTTTATTGAGATTAAAATAAGATTTAAAAAACAAACAAATTGAAAGTGAGGTAAAAAAACAAAAATACTGTATATATATATATATATATATATATATATATATATATATATATATATATATATATATATTGTTTTAGCAACCCATGTGACTGCTTTGGGAAATAACCATCATTGTAGACATCACAGGATGACTGAATGTGAAGGAACGTGTAGTCTGGCACATTTGCTACCCACGACAAGTCAAGATTTAAAAAGAAAGAAAAATTATCTGACGTAGTGACTTTCATAAACGACAGTAAAAATCATGTGATCTGACCGGGGCTTTAGCTGTTTTATTGGAGTCGAAAGAATATATAAAGTAGAATATTCTTTTAACAGTCCCGATATATTTAAGTTTGTCCTTTTGCAAAATGTTTGTCATTTTCTTTTCTGCAAATTAGATTTTTTTAAAATCTGCTTGATTCTTTTAAAACCAAAAGCAGTCCCCGTCAATTGATGTTTTTTTCCATATGATACACCTTTGTGACTGTTTTATTTTATGTGTATAGTCTTTAATGTGCTTTTTAATAATTTTATTCTTTTCAAAGCAGCACACAGATGCAAATTTATCCTTAAAAATGTGGCATGAGAGCAATGCACGTGCAATCAATTCCTGAGCCTTTGCATACATTTTTAAAACAAAAGACAAGATAATTTAATTACTTTCAATGTGCTAAATATTTGTTAAACGATTATTTAAAAAAAAGCTTAGTAGGCCTCCGTTGGTCAGTGTTGACCATGGATGACGTATCATAGCTCTTATCTTGACGCATGACTGATTGTCTGAGACAGCGTCGTTGGTGGCTGAAGAGACCAATACGGGAGAGGCATTCTTTACCGCAGCAGTCGCATTGATAGTGGCTCCCTGGCTGACGTTCTGCACCTTTCAGTGAACTCGCTTGTCCTCTGATGCACGCATCATGTTCTTCTCACCTGACTTGAGTTGTTTGGTCAGGGTGCACCTCCATTTCAGGCGGTCAGCTGCGAGGTCTTCCCAGGACTTGATGTTTATGTCGAGGGCCTTCATGTCCCTTTTCACGACATCTTTTAAACTGTAAAACTGTCTGTGCCAAAAGCCTAGTGGTTAGTGTGTCGACACATAGCACCAAGGTGCTCACGGCGACAGAGTTTGATTCCTGGCTTGTGGTCCTTTGCCGATCCTTTCCCTATCTCTGATTACCACACTTTCCTGTCTGTAAAATCTCCCACTGTCCTATCCAAATAAAGGTGAAAACCCCTAAAAAATTATTATATATTAAAAAAAAAAAACTTGTAAAACTGACTAAAGTGCATGGTAATCGGAAATAAAGGAAATTAGTAAATTAATCTATTTCATTATTTAATGCATAAAATAGGCAATGTTTTTATGAATTGAGGTAATTCTGAAACTTTTAATTGCATTTTCTTTTCATATAAATAATAAAAGTTGCATCAGATTGATGAAAACAGGGCCACAGTGACTTTTTATTTTTCATTGAAACAATTGGATAGTGTCTTCTGTCTACATGACTGGCAAATGTGTCAGGAAACACCTGCTAAATATCTGCAAATATTTTGTTAACAAATGTTTAGTAATGTTAGTAATGCATAGAAAAATGCAAAACAGATTTGTCCTGAGCTCATTAACCTACTGATGACAGCCACTTTGTGATGGTTTTTAAGGTGGTTAATGAGATTTGTTGTGTTACCTTGGGAAGTTTAGACTGAACAGGAGCAAAGGCTACCTGATCAACATTACATTACATTACTCGAAAAAAACACTTGCAATCTAGACGCAGTCACCTCATGTTTGTTTTGCAGTACAATCCGTAAACTCCACTCATTAAAATAACGGCTTGGTTATACTGTAAAATCGTGACGATATTTAATTATTGGTTGTGGGCCACAAATATCGTTATTGTGATTAATAATATGATTAATCGTGCAGCCCTACACTCTTCCATTATGTTCCTGGCTGTTTTTAACCCATTGACTTCCATTAAAACCACATTTTTTACCACAAAGACAAGACACCAAATAATCATGCATTCTAGATTGTTGCCGTTTTTCCTGTTGGGAAGAGGTCAAATGTGTCATTTTTACTGTTGATCATCAGTTGGCAGCATTAACCCTTTAGATAGGCATGTTCAAAAAGTTTCTGTCTTTTATATGGAGTTCAGTGGAGTAAAACAGTAGATTATAGTGTGCATGCATAAATACACTTTGTAGGGGGACCAACAGTTTTATCCCAAAAATCAGATGAAGAAGAGCAGGAGTCAGAGATTCAATTAAAAGAAAGTTTACTGTAGATAATTTGCAGTTTTATCAGCAGAAACCAGCTTCAACACTCGCAAAAAGTTTGTAGACCGCTCTACATACAATCTCAGAATAACAACAATTACACTCTTACATAAGGGGGTTGAAGACCGCGTGTACACATTTTTATGCGTCTTCTCCTCATAATGCCAAAAAGAACTTGAATTACACTTTTAGTTTTGATGGTACAGATCAGATCAATACATCAATCTAATCTGTTAAGTGTCTAGTTTTTATTGTGCACACTTACAATGACAACAAACTTGTGTGCTTTTGCAAAATAAGGAGTATTAACAGTGTAGGCATTCTCTCTTTTCTCTCTCCGCGTACTGTTTTTACAGGCTTTGTTATTACAATCGTCTGCAAGAGACGCACGCAACATGTAGACTGTGGTCAGAAAAAACACGTCATTAAAATGAACAGAAACTCTGCAAATACTCAACAAAGAGGCATGAGAGATATATCTATAGAAGGCTTGATATGTATAGTTTTGCATTAACCAATTCAAGTCAAAAACAAATAATCTCTTTTCATGTAATCCGTATAAAAGTAGGGACTGGTACAGATTCTCCTGTATCGCCTCATTACAGCTATTGTGATCCTGCCCTCTGTGAGCGCGCTGTTCATATGGAAATAAACTGAGGTGAGCCTGGTAATAATGTACACGCTTCCCGAGACATGGCATAAAACGACAAGCTTTATCATAGATGCACATGTTAGACGAGTGAAGAAGCACTTCGGATGGACGTCGATGAAGAATTTACTTTCTCCTCAAAGGAAGAGCACGACTCTGATGACGAACACATACATTTTGAAGAACGTCTACACCCAGCGGAGGATAGAATTCATGTCGGGTAAGTCTTTTATTCTTACCTTCTTGTAGTTTCATTGCTGTACAAAGTGTATCCTATTACTTATATAGCATATAATGATAAACATAGGCCTATATAATAAAAATGTTATATAAATAACTATTGAATTAATTTAACAAATATTTTCAAGTATTTTACTATAGTATGCTTCAAAACAACTTAATTATTCACTATAAATTACTAATAATTTTTTTCATGTGAGTATGATAATCTTATTTGTGGTTAATTGTGTTAAAATATAGTTTCTTTGTTATTTGCATTCTGTTCTCTCATCAAGTATGCATATGCTAAGCTATTGTAAAAAATATACTGACCGTTGTTTACAGAACAGAAGTTGTTTAGTTTGTAATTCCTATGTGGTAACTGAGTTTATTAGGTAGATTTAGTACTAGTATCAGTGAACATCACAAAAATGTTAATAATGTAGTTCATGTAATCAGATTGCTTTTTTTTTCAGATGTGGAAAAGAGTAAAAAAAAGAGACTGATGCTGACATGGCTCCTCAGGCTCTGAGATTCTTCATGAATCTGGACGTCAGCTAAGATCATGTTATGCTCACACTCAGCTTTTACAAACCTTACACCCTTTATTATCTCACACTCTTCATATTTACATTGTTGATTTGCTTTGAATGTGCCTTCTGTACACAATGTGTCGTGTAAATTCCAGCGCATGCCTTAAGTTATACGTAAAGTGTATTTATCAGTAGATTTGCTTTATGTAATTATATATATATCTTACAGAGTTGTATACAGTTTACTGACTCTCACAAGTGTATCAAGTTGTTTTGTGTGATAGTTAAATATATTTTAACAAATAAAAAAAAATATATATAAATAAACTTTTTTTTTTTCCCTCAGATTCTTTCTTGAAACTCTTCCCCCTTACTGTACGTTCACAACGAAAGTGGCGAGTGCGTCAAAGGTCGCTCTGGCCGCCCTGGTGACAACGCTGTCTGTCTTTAGCTCTGGATGCAAGAGCGTCAAAATTTGCTACATTGATCTCGTATTTAAAGGGGCCGTTGCAGCATATCTTATCAGTTACATTACTGCATAAAACCATACTTTCTAGCTTGAAAATGTTGCTCACTTATTATCAAATTTGTTTAACAATGAGAGATCAAGTTGCATGTGATGTGGATTTGCTTCACTCAATTATCCAGTGTGTCCATATGTCTAAAATATCCTGAAGCAGCAATACTGTTTTGTATTGTCGCATGATATTCACGCTTTTTTTAAAGAAAAAAACATATAACTTGCAACATTAATGCACGCCAGTAACTTTTTAAAATATGTTCCAGTAATGAAACATTGCAAATAATTAGAAATTCGGCGACCGGAATAATCAAACTCTTGGGAACAACTTTGGTCGGAACCAAAGTTCACAGGAGAACTGTGTTCTCTGGACTCCTCTCAAGCGGTGGACTTCTACATTCTGATTGCTTGCCGCCAAACCACGTCATAGCTCATTACCATAAAGCTGACTTGATTTCAACCCTCCTCGACGCCCACACCGGCAAAGACGTGCCACTCCTCGCTGCTTATCGCCGCCGGCTCTCATTGAAAATAATTGACTTAAGGCTACATTGACGCTCTCGCCGCTTTCGGTGTCACATACCTGTCTAATGGCTCATTATTAGGCCCACAATGAATCTGCGCACGCAGAATTCCGCAGATTTTTACCCCAACATTACTTGTTTATTTGCTTGAGTAAATGTGTGTAAATCTATATTTATTCAGCTTTTAAATTAAAACAGTAATATTATTGACTAATATGAAAATGTTCATTTAATTTATATACAATGCAGTTTAAAAAAATAAAATAAAATTCCGCAGAAATCCGCAGATTTTTACCAAAATTCTCTCCAGAAATAGCAAAAAAAAAACGTCCGCAGATTCCGTCTGGCCCTACTCATTATGTAGGTCTTTGTCTTCTCAAATGTGAATCATTGCATTAGTAATGATAGTTCATGCCTTCAAAACAAAATATATAAAATGAGAATTTGAGCAAAAAAAAAACTAAACTTTTGCTTCTTACCCACGGAGCGGAGGGGTCAAGGGAAATGAGTGGAGAATGGCGAATGTGGAGGTGTGGATGTGAAGATTGAGTGCGTTGACGAACCCAGCCGGTGAGCCGGCAGCTGACTCCATGCCAGCGAAATAAATCGGTAAGTTGATTGTGTTCAGGACTCACTGCGCTGAAGTCTTTGGTGATGCACTCGTTCACAGACGTCACGAGCACGTTTACACTGCTCGTCTCGACCCGTGTCATTACTCGTTTCCCCGCACTGCAACAGTTGTCAACTTCTATTTCTTACGCACACCACATAATGCTGCCCTCTTCAACTCTCCTCTTCTTCCTTTATACCAGTGGTCACCAAACTTGTTCCTGAAGGGCCGGTGTCCTGCAGATTTTAGCTCCAACACTGATCAAACACACCTGAACAAGCTAATCAAGGTCTTACTAGGTATACTTGAAACATTCAGGCAGGTGTGTTGAGGCAAGATGGAGCTAAACCCTGCAGGGACACCGGCCCTCCAGGACCAGGATTGGTGACCCCTGCTTTATACTCTCACCCAGGGGCAGACTGGGACAAAAATTCAGCCCTGGCACTGCAGCCACATCAGCCCACATTACCACACAGACTCACCCATTTGCCTTTTTGCCATCCCATGGGTAAAGACCAAAGAAACAATGTTGACTGTCATCACAGAAAACACCAACAATTGTTAATGCATGATTATATGCTGTCATGGCTTTGCAATAAAACAATGTTATAATAGAGGCCAATTGAGAAAAAACTGCCAAGAATATAACGAAAAGGGAGTAAATTTGCCCAGAGTGTATTGAGGTTTTTTATTTATTTTTTATTTCAAAGCATTTTCCCAGAATATGTCGAAATAAGAAGTCCCCAAATATCGGTTCGTTTGCTGAAACACAGAGAAAGTTTCAATATACAATAACTTCTGTTAAGCAGCTTTGACACAATTTACATTGTAAAAGCACTAGATAAATAAAGATGAATTGAATCTGCTTAAATGTGTACACGTTAATAGACCAAACTAAATATGATCTGATTCATTTTACATTTAATGTGCATGAAAATTACGTGTGTAGTCAATGTGTCTTTACACATTTAAGCTCTTGATGAGAGTTTTTAAGACTTCATGAAAAATAATGTTTTTTTTTTATTTCAGACCTATTTGAAGAGTAATAGGGGAGTAAAGAGGAGGAACATCATGTCAAAATTGAGGAAAAAACTCATTTACAGACTGATGGTAGTTTGAAAAGGAGAGACAAGAATCGTTTCACCTACACTCAGTGTGGAAAGAGTTTGGCAAGCAATAGCAAACTTAAGATTCACATGAGGATCCACACTGGAGAGAAACCATTTAATTGCACTCAGTGTGGGAAGAGTTTCAGCCAATCAGCATACCTTAATCAACACATGAGGATCAACACTGGAGAGAAACCATTTAATTGCACTCAGTGTGGGAAGAATTTCAGCCAATCAGCATACCTTAATCAACAAATGAGGATCAACACTGGAGAGAAACTATCCAGATGCCCTCAGTGTGGGAAGAGTTTCAATTGCTTAGCACACCTTAATAAACACATGAGGATCCACACTGGAGAGAAACCATTCACATGCCCTCAATGCGGGAAGAGTTTCAGCCAATCGTCATTCCTTAATCACCACATGAGGATCAACACTGGAGAGAAACTATTCACTTGCACTTAAGCCGTGGTCACACTGGACTTTTCTCCCCATAGACTTCTATTCATACGCACGAGAATGTGTCAAACTGGAAACGCAAGTTTGTGCGTCAAGTTTCGCAGTTCACTCCATTGCAAAGTTCAAGCTTGGTGAACTCTGACCTTCAAAATTGCATCACTTGACTGTGTGAGACCAATCGAAGATCAAAACATGACCTCTCTGGACAGAAATGTAAAATATGGACCAATCGCTCACTTTTTTTAATGCCCAATCATGTTTTTTAATCCCGCCCCTTTTAGCAGCTCCATACAACATAATTTTGAATGCTCAAACTCTTGTGTGACCGCAGCTTCGGTGTGGGATAAGTTTCAGCAACTCATCAGACCTTAATAAACACATGAGGATCAACACTTGGAAACCATTCACATGAACTTAATGTGGGAAGAGTTTCAACCAATCAGCAAACCTTAATGAACACATGAAGATTCATACTGGTGTGAAAGAGTATGTGTGCTTGAGTGTGAGAAGACTTTTTTACAGCTCCAAAATTGAAACTGCACCAGACGATTCACACTGGAGAGAAACCGTACAGATCTGATCAGTGTCTACAGAGTTTTGCTCACTCAGCGCAGCTTAAGAAACACATAGACAAAAGGTTGCACACATGACATGAACGCAGCAAAACATTTTCTCATGTGCAAAGGATGTGTCATGTCTGAATAATGTTTGAAAAGGCTGAGTGACGGTATACTGTTTTCCAACACTCCTACACTGCAGTAGGTGAGGTTGTAAATGTGTTGGGCTCCTCGCGTTTACCGTAAACACAATGATGACGGCTGAGAGAAAAACAGTTTCATAAACATCTGGCAAACAGTGCCTCTGCAGCTTAAAATGTCTTTGCAAGTGATTGTACAGGTGCGGATACATCTGTACTCTACTCTCCAGTGCATTCATGTAGCTAGTGTTGTTTTGGATGATGTTCTCTGTCTGACTCCCTGAATGAGAAACAAATCACTGGGAAGACACTGCACATCAAAGAAGATGGAGCTCTAGGACAGTTAGTTTGCAGTATACCAGGGCCTCAAGTTTAGAAAGCCCATTCAATTGTCCTGTGTTGCAGCTTTTTTTAGTAAAGTTTCTTTACTTTTAGGTTCAAGATTCTTTCTGGTTTACTACATTTACTTTTTTGAGTAGAATACAAACTTGATGAATATTTGATGATTTAGGCAGAGTGACAGGTATTAAGTTTTACAATATTAATACACTGTGATGATCCCAAGACTCCTGATAGGACTATGTGGTAAATCCTGATTGGAGTATGTGGAGTATCCTGTTTGGATGCCTGCATTACTCATTAATGGGTATATAAAAGTTGTTATGCTAGCTACCCTAGGACACTGTGGCCACTTGGGAGTCCTCATGTCAAGACCTACCATCTCATAGTTTCTTTAATCTCATGGTTTTGTTTTGCATTACTTATATCATGTAGTTAAAGTGTTGTTGTGATTATATCCCGCTTTCGAGGCTCTTTTGGTCAACTTCACTTTGTCAGACAGGTCCTATTTAGGTGATTTCTTGATTGCGAACACATGTGTGGTAGTAATCAGGTCTGGGTGTGGCTAGAGAGCTTGAAGCCAGTGTGGTAAATTAAATTTTTGTTTTAATAAGAAAAAAACATTTTAACATAGGTAGTATTTTGTCTTCCTGTTAAAAATAAAAACCTTAATTTAAAAACTGCACAATGTGTTTAATTGTGTTATCTTTGACTAATATTTACATTTGTTTAATGATCTGAAACCGTAGTGTTAGATTTCTTCATTGCATTTGTTACATGCACATTACTAAACTAGAGAACATTTGTCATTTTAAGGTGCAGATTTAAGGCTTTATGCAGATATGTCTCATGTCTGTGAGGCAAATATTCACAGAGATTCAGCAGTTTTTCTGACAGATTTACTAGTCAGGCACCGAATGAAAAACATTCCCTATCTGCTTTACAAGTTTTACAAAAACATGTTGTTTTGTTGTGATTACAAAACTGGCCATTTACAGCTTTCAAATTTGTCTCATCAATATGACCAAAATTGATCTGGGATCAATCATATAAGAATCCGCTTAAATGTGTATGTGTGTAATGAACCCCAGGAGGTTGAAATGACAAGATCAATCTAAATATGATCTGCTATGTTTTTACATTTAATGTGCATACAAAATAAAGGTTTGTGTAGCCTTTGTTTTAGTGGCTTTTCACTTCAGCTTTTGATGAGAGTTTTAATGATTTACTAAAAACTGAACTTTTTTTTATTTCAGACCTAATTAACGAATATGAGAGGAGTAAAGAGGAGGAACATCGTGTCAAAATTGAGGACAAAACTCATTTAGAGACTGATGGTGTTTTAAAAATGAGAGACAAGAGTTGTTTTACCTGCACTCAGTGTGGAAAGAATTTGGCAAGCAAAAGCAAACTTAAGATTCACATGATGATCCACACTGGAGAGAAACCTTTCACATGCACTCAGTGTGGGAAGAGTTTCAGCCAATCATCATCACTTAATAAACACATAAGGATCCACACTGGAGAGAAACCATTCACATGCACTCTGTGTGGGAAGAGTTTCAGCCAATCACCATCCCTTAAACTACACATGAGGATCCACACTGGAGAGAAACCATTCACATGCACTCAGTGTGGGAAGAGTTTCCGCCAATCACCATCCCTTTATTTACACATGAGGATCCACACTGGAGAGAAACCATTCACATGCACTCTGTGTGGGAAGAGTTTCAGCCAATCACCATCCCTTAATCAACACATGAGGATCCATACTGGAGAAAAACCATTCACATGCACTCAGTGTGGGAAGAGTTTCAGCCAATCGTCATACCTTAATCAACACATGAGGATCCACACTGGAGAGAAACCATTTGCATGCACTCTGTGTGGAAAGAGTTTCAGCCAATCACCATCCCTCGTTCTACACATGCGGATGCACACTGGAGAGAAACCATTCACTTGCACTCAGTGTGGGAAGAGTTTTATCCACTCATCACACCTTAATCAACACATGATGATCCACACTGGAGAGAAACCATTCACATGCCCTCAGTGTGGGAAGAGTTTCAGCAAATCATCATCCCTTAATCAACACATGATGATCCACACTGGAGAGAAACCATTCACATGCACTCAGTGTGGGATGAGTTTCAACCAATCATCAAACCTTAATAAACACATGAGGATCCACACTGGAGAGAGACCATTCACATGCACTCAGTGTGGGAAGAGTTTCATCCACTCATCATACCTTAAAATACACATGAAGATCCACACTGGTGTGAGAGAGTATATGTGCTTGGAATGTAAGAAGACTTTTATCACAGCTGCAGAATTGAAACGGCACCAGAGGATTCACACTAGAGAAAAACCGTACAAGTGTTCACACTGCAGTAAGATGTTTACTCACTCACGAACCCTGAAAACACATGAGAAAATTCACACTGGAGAGAAACCGTAGACATGATCAGTGTGTACAGAGTTTCACTCATTCGGGGCAGCTTAAGAAACCCATGGGATGGTACGTGTATGGCTTCGACACATGTAGCAGCATAGAAAGAGCGCTCCCATACACACTGGTATTAATCCTCCTTTTTACATCATATATGATAACCTAGACCATGTTTAAATAACACGGAGGGGGACAAAAACAAAAAGGCTAGAACAAAACAACCAATGAAACCTGAAAAAAAACGAGAAATCAACAGATGAAAAATCAGAGACAGACGGGGTAGCTAATAGCCTGTCAGCAAGCATTGCAGCAATACATACGGACATCAAAACTTTCCGGATGGATATTAAATCTGATTTAACCACCTTTCAAGATTCTCTCACAAAAGACAAGAAAATGGAACTAAGTAACTTTAAACAAGAAGTCAATCAAAAACTGGATGGCCTTATTATGGACCTAAACGCAACAGCAAAAAAGGTCAACAAAGCGGAGCAGCGAGTTGGAGAATTGGAGGAGAACGTTGGTGAGATTTATTAAATGCTCGATCAAACCATCCAAATTTAAGAAAATTTACAAGAAAAACTGTTAGATCTAGAAACACGCTCCCTTAGAAATAATATTCTGATCTTTGGAATCCCGAAAGGAAGCGAAGGGAATGATATCCAAGACTTGGTGGAAACGATTATCAAACCGGAGCTGGACCCTAAAATCCAACAGTGTCACCCGGTAATTGGTCCAAAACCACCTGCTGACGCACATCCTAGATCAGCGATGGTATTCTTCCTGGAATACAAAACGAAGGACCTGTGGCCTCATGTATCAAGGCTGCATACACACAAAAAATTTGCGTACGCCAGGTTTCACATTCACGTTTGGATTTACTAACGATGAAATGAACGCGAGAGTGTGCGTTGGTCTACGCCAACTTCATGCCTTGCATACGTGCATTTCTTGTGTGTGTTTGTTTTATTTCCATTGGCGACTCCTAGAGGCAATTGTGTTAAATTGCACACTACAAATGGGGCGAGATCATCCGCATGTCTAGCAGGTATCTAAGGTTTCCATACCATACAGTTGACTACCCAACAATTGAAGCGCAACTTGCAGCGATTGCCGATTTTCCCAATGTAATTGGAGCGATCTACTGCACACACATTGCTATAAAGGCACCATCTAAAGACGAATTTGCATACGTGAATCAGAAACATTTCTATTCAATAAATGTGCAGATAATATGTGATGCTCAAACACCCTTAACATAATACACACACTTCCTACTTGTGTTCCTCGTGATGAAGAGTAGGCAAAATCTAATATGTAATGGGGAAAAAAGAATGAGTTCATCAGACACTGGATTTGAACCGCGTTCTTGAATGACAGTGTCAAAACATGTTGCCCTGCGTTTTACGAGCTACACCACTCGCGCTGCTGATGTCCACCCTATTTAGCTTTGTTGTCTCTGTCAATCAAACGGGTGGAAATCGCTCAACTAGCTCATTCCAACGAAAAACTTGCAAATAACACCGTTTTTCTCTAGTCTACCTCCGATAGCACATTCTGTCCAAAGTTTGTCTTCTTGCTTGCTTTTGCCATTGCTTTTTCGCTTGGTTTTACCAAAGTAGAGTCATTAGCATATTCATACGGGGGAGGAGGCAGGGAGGGGTTTTGCGCTTGTGCACGTGCGCTCAGTTTCACGTTTCGGATGTACAAAGTGCGTACGCCGAATCCCACGCATATTCTCTGTTTCATACATCTGAATATTTTACTGCGTACGCACATTTACAGTGTGTACGCACATTTACATTTTACTTTGTGGGTACGCAATGTTTTAGTATGATTTCAACGCAAGTCTTCGTATATGAGGGCCCTGGAAAGTAATACACTGGAACGAAAAAAAGGATTTTCTTTGACCAAGACTACGAACCTGAGATCCACCAGAAAAGATGGGCGTTTGTACCAATAAGAAAAATTCTGAAAGAAAAGGGAATTAAGTTCTAAACACCAACGCCGCCGAAACTTAGGATCTTTCTGGAAAACCTGTCATGTACATTTCAATAACGGGGGCATCATGAGATCTAAAAGAAAAAGGACTGATAAACAGCGAAGAAGAAACTATTATAGGAATCTCTGGGAAAGTGAAACAAAGACCTTGGCAAAAGGTTGGAGTGACATTGAAGAAAAGTAAGGAAAAACAAGCAAAAATCCGAGAAGAACTACGGGAATTTGAAAGGGACAACACTAGCTGTGTTCGAAAGAAGGGTAAAACCTGACAGATCCTAACAAAGAACTCTGAGAGACTGGTAAAAGTTCTTGACTTGATTCACCGATGATGGACATTTAATTCATTTTAAGGAAGAATGGTATTTAACCGAATTGACCAACGACACAAGATGAACGATTAAAGCACACCAAGACTCAAGTCATTGAGTAACATACTGGTAGGAAGACATAAAGGGATTCTAATTTATACACTTAAAACCCCTTGCTATAATTAGTAGAAATATTTAACTTAAAAACCTAGCCAGAAATACAAGAATATAATATTGGCAGATATGGGCGCTGAATATATGTACGTTGAATTTTTTTGTGCAATAGGGACAGCAAGGAGGGGCCCTTTAGTGAAGGAAGAGCTTTCCCCTCACATTAAGAAGTTATTTAAGACTTTAAGGTTTGGAGACCTTTTTCGTTATGTTTTTTTTTTTTTTGTGGTTCAGGATATTCATATTTGTGTTTTTTTTTTATGTTCCGGTCACCGTGATCTTCGCAATGACATCTGATTATAGTATATGCAAAAACAGGAATATAGAGTATTTACTTTGAATATTAATGGGTTACTAAATCCAATTAAAAGAAGCAAACTCATAGATAAAATGAAAAGAGAAAAGCAACAGATAATCTTCCAGCAAGAGGCACATCTTTCTGATACATAACATAAGAAATTAGGTAAAATGGGATTTAAGTAGGGATGTAACGGTATCAGAATTTCACGGTACGGTAATACCTCGGTATGAATGGCACGGTACGGTATTTATTGAATCATTTACAGGAAAAACAAAACTAATGAAAATACCCCAAAAAAGTGCCAAAAGTGTCAATGACATACAAATTAGCCATCTATCTGTAAGCTTTAAAACAGGAACTTCAATTTTTCCATTTTAATAACAAAAAATTATTAAACCATGTAAAAAAAATAAAGTTTCAATTTAGTATTGTTGAAAACTCATCACATTCAACATTTAATCACTCACTCACTCACTTAGATAGAGATGGGTTTTTTAAGGAAAATTATATAACTATAATCTGGTAAAAGCTAGTATCTCTGGGTATTTACAATGTCCCCTGCAACAGAAAAAAACCCTCTCATTTGGGACTGAGGTTTCTGGGACAGAGATATGACTTGGCCCAGGTTGACAGCAGTGGGTAACGTTGTGCTTTGTCTTTCCCCCACCTGAGAGGACAAGCCATGAGTGAGATAGAGGTCTCTTTGCGGTACAAGTCAATGTCTGCATCAATCTGAACAGTGTGCTGTATTCTGCAGTCCCCATGACTGTTATTAGTCGTATTCCCCAACTTGCAGGCAAGTGCACACATAGGGCTCAACCTGTGCAGTGCACATGCCCTTTTTAGTCTTGGATAGAAAGTGCCCTTCCAAAATGATCAAAAGTGCCCCTGCGACGCGACACACCCTCCGTCCCGCCCGACGTGACAACGCCGCTATTCAGTGCGCGCGCGGCATCAACAACAACACCCCCAACCGAAATGCTTCCACACATCCAATTTAAAACCCACTTTAGGTTCCATCAATTCCAGCTCTTTTTCATCCCCGCTACTAGCAGCACACTCCATTTCCGCATTACTGGATCTGTAGCGACAACAGATCATCAGATGATGATCAAAGGATGATGGCCACGCCTGGGATGATGGGAATTGTACTTTTCGCTACCTCCCGTTTGCTATTGCGGTATGACGGTATTTACAATACCGTTACATCCCTAGATTTAAGGTTTTCTTTTCCTCTTATAATAATGGTCGTAAACGAGGAGTAATGACATTAATCTCAAATAAAATCAACTTCCAATTAATTTCTAAGATTACTGATATAAAAGGACGACATAACCTAATTAAAGGAATTATCGACCAAAATGAAGTCACATTAGTTAATATATATATATATATATATATATATATATATATATATATATATATATATATATATATATATATATATAGACCACCTGAAAAAGACAAAGCTTTTCTTAAAAAATAAGGAGGTGTCAGGTATGTTCATCTGTGGAGAGACTGGAATGTACAACTTCAGCCTAAATTGGACTCATCTTCTAATAAGCAAATTAGTCAAGAAACTAGACAAATAAGATATATGATGAAAGAATTAGGCTTAATAGATGTATGGAGACACATATTCCCTCTTGAAAAAGAATATACTTTCTTCTATTCTGCCCATGTCTCATTCTAGAATTGATTATTTTTTTATGTTTGGGTCAGATCAACATAAATAAAAGACTGTAAAATAGGAACAAGGGACATCTCAGAACATGCAGGAGTATATTTGACAATCGTCCTGGACAATAAACCCAAAAAGACATTTTGGCGATTTAACCCTAATTATTTGAATGATTTAACATGTAGAATATGTTAAAAAAGAACTATTAGAATATTTAAAACATAATGATAATGCAGAGGTGTCACCTAGTATCCTTTGGGACGCAGCTAAAGCTGTTATGCGAGGTAAACTTATAATGTGGGGATCAAGGGAAAAAACTGAATTACATGAATAATCTGAATCTATACAACTTGAAGAATTAGAGACTAAATATGGTAATAAAGAAGATCCAGATATTTTTAATAAGATCAAAGAAGTTAAAGCATAACTCAATAAAAAAATTTGATGAGCAAGTACTATTAAAACTTACATTTTTTAATTTTAAGAAAATGGTCCAAAAGCAAAAAAAAACTCCTGGCATAGAGAATAAGGAAACAACAGGCAGAGAGGAGAATTTGAAAATCAAAATCAAAAATCCCAAAACTAAAAAGATATGTCATAACTTTGGAGGACATACAACAGGCTTTTTAAAAATACGATAAGGATTATATACCTTAAAAGATTGAATTTGCAAACATGCACTCATTTTTACACACATTAGATTTACCATCAATTGGATCAATACAAAATACCCTAACTCAAAAAACAACTATAGAAGAAATAAGCAACGCTATACTTCAAACATCTGAAGTACCAGGCATAGACAGCTTCTCTGCAAAATGGTATATAATATTTAAAGAGCAATTGATGTCAATGCTTTTTAAATGATTTAATGGTCACACTTTACAATAAGGTTCATCAGTTAATGTTAAGTAATGCATTTGATAACATTAACAAACAAGGAACAATACATTTACTACAGTATTTATGTACATAAATGTTAGTTAATGAAAATACAGTTGTTCATTGTTAGTTCATGTTAACTCATGGTGCTTCAATGTTAACAAGCATGAACTTGAATGTTAATAATGCATTAGTAAATGTTCAATTATGATTAATAAATGCTGTACGAGTGTTGTTTATGATTAGTTCATGTTAGTAAATGCATTAACTAATGAACCTTATTGTAAAGGTTTGCATTTAATCATACCTTACATGAGGGCGACCCCTCTAGATCCTGAAGAGAAGCTGTCATATCTGTGATTCCAAAAGAAGGAAAAGATCCACTAGAGTGTAATTCATATAGACCTATTTCAGTCCTAAATATTGACTATAGACTCTATATACATCTATATTTAGCTGAATGATTAGAGGACATTCTTCCAGACCTAATAGATACTGATCAAACAGGTTTTATAAAACAAAGACAAGCATATGATAATATATGGCGAGCCCTTCACGTAATAGATTATATAGCTCAAAACAAGATTAGCACTCCTAATTAGTCTAGACACAGAAAAAGCCTTCGATTCAGTGAGTTGGGATTTTTTAATATTTATTTCTGCAACGATTTGGATTTGAGAATGACACTATAACATTTTTAAAATCTTTATATTTAGTATTGAGCTCCTACAGCTACAATTAAAATGAATAGAGATATTTCGAAGTATATTATATTGGAAAGAGGATGCCGACAAGGGTGCCCATTAAGTCCTTCCTTATTTGCGTTATTTATTGAAGCATTGGCACAACTAATCAGAGATGATACAGAAATAAGGGGAGTGAAAAATAAAGATGTAGAACATAAAATTGGTTCATATCCTGATGATGTGTTACTGTTTCTTACATACCCAGAATTTATTTTACCCAAGGTGATGTATTCTCTTGAACAATTCTGATTATATTCAGGAAATAGATTAAATATACTTAAAACACAAACTCTTATGTAACGATAATCCGGAAAATGTAATCCGGGTTCTTTATAACACATAAAATAAAATACTTTCAAACTAGAGATCAAAAATGGTGAATGCTGGAGAAAATGTTGAAATGTATTGGCAGATAATTTCCAAATATTTTGAGACAGTAATATTATACACACCTATCGGCAAGATTAAAATAATAAAGAGATAAATGCAATAATGCAATTGAATCAGGAATGTAATTTTAAAACTGAGAATTTATTCAGGTATTACTGTGTATCTTCTGAAAACACCACTAACAACTAGCAAAAAGGCCATTACAAAGAAATGGGTCAAGGAAGATCCTCCATCATAGGCGAATGGTATGATATTGTTAAAGAGGTATTTGACATGGAAGTATTGACATTTACCTTGAGACAACAAGCCTATAAAATCTCTGCATACTGGGGTAAATGGTTGAGAAGAAAAGTCCTGTTTTAATTTCATTGTGGTGCTTTTATTTTATATATGTTTGGAGCCTGTTGATCTTTGACATGTAACCCTCACGAATGTAAATAAGATTGTATTCGGTGACCTTTGAAACTTGTATGTCTTTTTTGTTTCCATTTTCCTTTAAAAATGTCTGTTTGTTAGCTTGCTTGTTTTTTTTTTTTTTTTTGTTGTTGCTGTTTTGTTTGTTTTGTTCTAAACTGTTTTGATAAATAAAAAAATAAAAGTCGGCTCATGTATCATCATCATCCTGACGCAAGCTCACAGCGTTCAGCGTGTAGTTTCGCTGCTGTTAGATCAAAAACAACAGCTGCCATTCATGTTCAAACACTCTAAAAATAATTCTATAGGCCTATCTGTCTTTATAAATAATGTCTTACATTTTACAATGAATTCCGTCCCAAATAGATTGACTTTTTTTTTCTCTTTGCTAAAATAAATTATTATTGTGTTTGACTTTATCTTTTTTTAATTAGGCTAGCTGCCTTATTCTCTTCAAAGAGCAGCTCTCATACAGAGACCATTATTTCAGTGTTTTTTCCAGGATCTTGTGGATATTTTTGGATTCCTTCTCTTTTTTTGTCCTCAGCTGATCACATGGAAAAAGGAAAATAACTTTTCCTGGTCAATTTCTTTTTTTTTTTTTTCTTTTTTGGTTTTTAAACTATCACATCACTTTTCAGGTGAAGGGGGAAAAGTGTTGCACTTATCTGAAAAAGCTTCATATGTTTTAAATAATGAAATGTATTTTTTTTTAAAGTATTAAATTATGAAATGTTTGAAATAATTATGAAATTACAGTATGAAAATGTTTAAATGATTTATAGGCGAGGCAGTGGCGCAGTGGGCAGCACGTTCGCCTCACAGCAGGAAGGTTGCTGATTCGAACCTTGGCTCAGTTGGCGTTTCTGTGTGGAGTTTGCATGTTCTCTCTGCCTTTGCGTGGGTTTCCTCCAGGTGCTCTGATTTCCCCCACAGTCCAAAGACATGCGGTACAGGTGAATTGGGTAAGCTAAATTGTCCGTAGGGTATGAGTGCGTGTGTGGATGTTTCCCAGAGATGGGTTGCGGCTGGAAGGGCATCCGCTGCTTAAAAAACTTGCTGGATAAGTTGGCGGTTCATTCCGCTGTGGCGACCCTGGATTAATAAAGGGACTAAGCCGACAAGAAAATGAATGAATGAATGAATGATTTGTTAAATATATGCCAAAGACTGTGTCTTAGTTATTTTATTACTTTTATTTAATAAAAATTTGTTTAAAAAGCATAATATGAATCCACTGAAACAGAACTTTGTGACTCTGGGTCATTTCTGCAACTTTTTAAGAAGTATGTGAAATAACGGCACAGTAGAAGACTGTATATGTAGCATTCCCAGCTGAACAGATGCACTTTACTCTCATGGACTGATGTTTATATAGTTTTTAATCTTCAAAATAAATAATCGTAAGAGCTGAATAAAAGAAACAAATAATATTCATTACACATATCCTTGAAATTGCATTAAACAAATGCTCATAACTAGCCAATAAACTGATAAATACACATTTACAGTCTCAAATTAACTGTACAGGCATAAAATATAAATGTATTTACCTGTATTGTGATAAGTCTAAATAATTTGAATTGCATAACACTAACAATGGCAACAAACTATAAACTTTCAAGATAAACAGTCTTTTTAAATTTCACTGATTAACATATAAACTACCTTGTGCCCTTCATCGGCCAGGAGCTAAATGTGAGAAAAACCTTTTTGACTGCCTTTACGATAGTTTTAACAGAGAGCACTCCAAAGTCCTTTCCTTTTCTAGCGCTAAACCTTCACCAAAAACTTCTTTAATATGTACACTACGGCCTGTTTTAAGACAACAGCACCCTCTACTGGATGGAGGTAGAAGTGTCCGTGATTGAACAATTTAAAGGTCATCTACATATAATAGTAATATCAAATAACTACACTAAAGAAACTAAATTACTTCCAGTACATACAAGTGCAAACAAATGAACAAAATCTGAACATTAATCAAACAACATAAAGACAACATAGGTGATGTCTTAAATGAAAAATAGCAGTGAATCCTAGGATGATATACTATAGCTTGCTTTGAAGAATTAACAGTCCTGGTTCATTCTCAGGATTGAGGTCCATGGCTGCTGACCTTAAAAGCCTCGGTAATCTGAAACAAAAAGAAGACGACAACCAGAAAATGCACAATAATGTGGTTGAAACTTGAAGATGGATGGAAGGGAGGGTTAAGAGTAGTTTAAGCATACTTACCAGGCTGTAATTCCACATGTTGTACAGAATCCAGAGAGAGAGGAGAGAATATGGAGTAGCCTACTCACACTCTCACTATTGCATAAAGAAAACTTATAAGAAAAAAAAGAGTGCAAAAAAAGTCAGTAAGAGAAAATACAATTCTCTTGAAGTAAAGGTGAATGGTTTGTAAGACCTACTCATTCAGCCTATTACAACCAAGTCTCTATTTGGAGAGCAGTGTTGGTGCTTGGCAGTGCAGAAAGAGTACTTCAGGGTGAGAAGAGCAGTGATGGTTGTCCAGAGTCCAGAGAGAGAGGAGAGAACATGGCCACAGGTGGAAACTTGGGAGTTGGACATGTTAGAAGTGAGTGAGTATGGGGGATGGAAAGATGTTGTTTCACATCCAGTCCAATTCCAGTCCTTTCCCAGCAAAATATCTCCTCTTTGAGCCATAATCATAAAATAACTCATCACTCATAATGTCTTTTGTAGCAATGAAGAGAATGATGTCTCTATCATTAAGGACATACAGCCTGGGCCGGAAATTGGCTCTTTTGCTGGAGTGACGGATCAGGGGTCCATAATTGAACTTCATGGGATGGCACTGGCAGCTTTCTTCATGTGTGTCAATGCACATGGCTTCATGTTGCTTGTTCTTATAAAAAAAAACAAATGGCCAGCTCTGATGCCACTTGTCGAAGTAATTGCCATGGCTAAACAGCTGGCCGTGGTATTCACAGACAACCTCCCCGATCTGAAAGGGTCTTTTGTAGAAAACACCATTGCTCTTGTCAGGGACGGGCCTGACAGTCAGTCCTTTCCAGCGTTGAGACAAAATCATTTTATGCACAAAGCTGCTGACGATGACCAAGTGCAACCTGGCAACGGGCTTCCACTGCTTCAGAACCACTGCAGCCTGTGGGACGTTTGAAGTCCACCCTTGTTTGTCCATCCAGCGGTTTATTTTGGACTCTGATGGCTGCTGTCCAGCAAAGTGTTATAGAAACAAAAAACACATCAGTATAGTAAAAATAAATATTGAAGGAAGGAAAGGCAAGGCTGTGGGTTGCAAATTTAAAAATAAGGATCATCTCAGTTGTTAGATGCTTACGTTTTTTTCCCCAGCGAGCTGATCTAGCACACTAAGAGCCAGAAACGGATCTGAAGATGTTCTCCTCATGTAGTTCCTTTCAGCTACCACCACATTTCTCTTCACTTCTGACAGGTTTTGTGCTGCTGCCTCAAATGCTCTCTGGGCATCACCACACGTCACACTGGGGAGACTATATCTGAAACACAAGGCATCGTAAGAAGGCAAAAAGTGGACAGATGAAGATGTAGAGTTAAAGACAGATGTAATGTTGCTTACTTGTCATGTAGTCTTTTTAAGTCATTGGAAGGATCATAAATGGATCTCCCACTACTTGACACAAAAAATGAATCAGCTGCCACATCGTCACCAGTGCGGTTTTCTTGCAGCATTACTGGCCGCACCTCATTGAAGTACAAGTCGAACCACTAATTAGGTGAAACGGACAAAAAATAAGTCTAAATTTGACAGAATATATTTATTGCTGTTATGATATAAAAGACAACATAAACGTACAAGTTCCTGTTCGTGTGACAACGGTACTTTGTGCTCCTTCACTGCAACACAGACACCATTCTCTATCCGGCTTCTCCCCTCCCAATCCTCAACCTGCAAACAGACAGTTTTGCACATTGATGAAGCATTTAAGAACAAAGAAGAGAATGTAGGGAAAAACAAACACTTACAGTCATGTGTGTCACTACTCCAGGCCGCTGGACTAGCTTCAGCATGATAACAGCCTCCAGGTAGTACAGGACGAGCAGCCATTCATTTTTAGTCAAACAGTCCCCTGTGATGGCTCCTGGACCCTGCATTTTGCATATCATGGCCTGGAAATATTTGAATGCAGCCTCCAAAACAACAAGGCAGTCCTTTGGCAAAACTTCTTTGCCACAACCAAACTCTGATTTTTTTGCTGTGACCTTCATGCTCACTTTTTTGGACATGCCACTCTGTATTCCATACAGCGCATCCATAAAACTCTCACAGTCCTGGAACAGAGATGGATTGTTGATGATTGTCAGATGATCTAAAACTCTGAGTGCGGTCCAGATAAATACGCAAAGCGCGAACTGGAAAAAGTAAGAAAAGGGCTGGGTCTGCCTCCTCCGGGGGCAGCACTTGCAGGCTCACTACCTGGTCTTTAACGGTGTGGTAGGAACCTTGGGCACATATCCTGGGCGGGGTCTCAGAAACGTGAGAGTAAGCCAGCCCAAATTACAGGCACGAGTCACTGACCAAAAAATGCCTCCAGGTCCCCGTCCCTCTAAATCGATATCAACGCGACCAGCAGAGCTGTCTTCAGGGACAGAAATCTTAAAGATACTGAGTCGAGGATAGAAGGGATCTGACACAGGCTTGTGAAAACGAGGACGAGATCCTAAGAGGGCCTGAGAGGGGGGCGGGGTGGATTAATTCGCCTAGCGCCTCTGAGGAACCGGATGATGAGGTTATGCCTTCCCACAGTGCTGCCAGCCACCGTGTCATGAGAGCGGAGATGACAGGCACGTAACCTTGAGTGTGGAGCGCGACAGCCTGCTCTCCAGCTTCTCTTGGGATAAAGAAAGCACAACGCTGATCTGGTTATTTTCGTGGGTCTTCTCTGCGAGATACGCACCATTCAGTGAATAGACTCCATTTCAGGGCATGGGCGCGCTCGAGCAGGGGGCTCTAGCCCGAGTGACAGTATTAACCACCGCAATCGGTAGGTTACCTAAGTCTTCCTTGCGTCTAAGGACCACACGTGGAGGATCCAAAGATTAGGGCGATGGTGCCAGATGGTGCCCTGTCCCTGAGAGAGTAGGTGCTCTCTCAATGGGATTAGCCAGGGAGGACCATCGCAAGGAGGGAGAGCTCAGACATCCAGGTCCGGTTGGGCCAGAGGGGCGCAACCAACAACCTGTTCCTCGTCCTCCCTGACCTTGCACAGTAGCTGTGCGAGCAGGCTCACTGGGGGAAACGCATATTTGCGCATGCCCAGAGGCCAGCTGTGGGCCAGTGCATCCGTGCCGAGAGAGCCCTCGGTCAGGGAAAAGAACAACTGGCAATGAGCGATCGCGGGGGAAGCAAACAGTTCGATCTGGGCTTCCCCGAATCGCGCCCATATCAGCTGAACAGACTCGGGTGGAGTCTCCATTCTCCAGAACGTAAAGGCTGCCGTGAGAGCGCATCGGCTGCACGGTTGAGCTTGCCTGAAATGTGAATGGTGTGCAGCGATTTCAGCCGCGGATGACTCCAGAGGAGCAGATGGCGGGCGAGCTGAGACATGCGGTGAGAGCGAATACCCCCCATGCGGTTGAAATGCGCCACCGCCGCCGTGCTGTCCGTCCTGACCAGCACGAGCTGCTGCTCCAACACCGGAAAAAAACGGTGGAGAGCGAGGAACACTGCCAACAGCTCCAGGCGATTGATATGCCAATGCAACTGGGTTCCTTTCCAAAGGCCCGAAGCTGCATGCCCACAGCACACAGGCTCCCTGCCCGTGCTGGAAGCATCTGTTGAAACAACAACATGACTGGACGCCTGTCCTAGAGGCACTCCGGCCTGTAGGAACGAGGGGTCATTCCAAGGGCTGAGGGCGCGGTGACACAGCCCAGTAACAGAGACTCGGTGAGCGCGTGCCATGTGCGTCTGGGGACTCAATCGTGAAGCCAGTGCTGGAGTGGTCTCATATGGAGTAATTCGAGTGGCGTGACAGCGGCTGCGGATGCCATATGCCCCAGGAGCCTCTAAAACAATTTCAGTGGGACCACTTTTTTGCTGTCAAGCTCTCCCAGACAGTTCAGCATCAGCTGAGCGGGCTCTCTGGAGAGGCGCGCTCCCATGGTGACCGAGTCCAGCTCCAGCCCGAGAAAAGAGATCCTCTGCACGGGGGTGAGTTTGCTCTTTTCTCGGTTGACCTGAAGCCCCAACAGGTGGAGGTGCCGGAGCACCTTGTCTCTGTGCATAATCAATTGCGAGAGTGGGCTAAAATCAGCCAGTCGTCGAGATAATTGAGTATGCGGATGCCCGCGAGCCAAAGGGGCCATCGCATCAGACTGCTCTCTCACCGCCTTGAATTCCTGGGTGAATTCACAGACGGTGTCGCCGAACAGCCCAGCTTGGGACACACAGCGGACTTAGTGGTCCGAAGAGCATAGTTGGATGCGGTGCAAAGCTCACAAGCCTGGGTTAGACCCACCCTCGTGCAGCTCGACCAGCGCCTGCGCTTGGTAGCGCTGGTAGGTGGCCATCGCGTGCCAGGCGGAAACAGCCTGGCCCGCAGCCTTGTAAGCTCTAGCTCCGAGGGAGGCAGATAACCTACAGGCTTCGGACGGGAGAAGAGGCGAACCCCGCCAAGAAGAGGCACCATGCGGACAAAGATTGACCACAATCGCACGCTCAACCTGAGGAATCGCCACATACCCCCTAGCCGCTACACCGTCAAGAGTGGTGAGGGCGGAGGGACACGCAGCACGGGCAGAAAAAATTGCCCTCCAAGACTGGGTGAGCCTACTGTGCACCTCCAGGTAGAAGGGGACGAGAGGCTTCGAAGGCTTAGCCCTCTGGTCCTCTACGTAGCACCCATCTAGTCCGGGGGCGAGCGGGCCTTGATTCTCATAGGACAATGAAAGCCTACCCTCCGATGTAGCAGTGAAATGGAGTTAAAGTACCTGTGTTTTTTTTTTTTTTTCATGAGGAATGGAGAATGTGAGATTTAAAGATCGATCAGTGCAGCGGCAGCAGTAATGCAGTAGATATGGTTGTCTGTTGTGGTGAAGGAGCAGAGACGAATGGCAATGTTCTCAATTTACTGCTCAGTCTAGGTTCCTACTCGCACCTATGGTCATGACTGAAAGGACAGAATCTCGGATACAACTGGACACATTTTACAAAGTTTTATGACCCGCTTGTTTGAGTCGCAACATAAAAGAAAGATGAGCCAACAAAATAGCCTAAATGCTAATTATTTATTATAAAATGTAACTCATAGAACAATCAATCAAAGCAACCAACAAATGTCTAGGGATAATATGAAGATAAATAACTTGAAACTACATGATATAAGTAATGCAAAACAAAGCCATAATGTTAAAGAGTCAATGGGATGGCAGGTCTTGACATGAAGACTCCTGAGTAGCCACAGCGTCCTGGGGTAGCTAGCATAACAACTTTTATATACCCATTGATGAGTAATACAGGCATCCAATCTGGAGTCATGGGATTATCACAGTATATTAATATTGTAAAACTTAATACCTGTTGCTCTGCCTAAATCATCAAATATTCATCAAGTTTGTATTCTACTCTAAAAAGTAAATGTAGTAAACTAGAAAGAATCTTGAACCTAAAAATAAAGAAACTTTATTAATAAAAGCTGCAACACAGGACAATTGAATTGGCTTTCTAAACTTGAGGCCCTGGTATGCATCAAACTAACTCTCCTGGAGCTCCATCTTCATTGATGTGCGGTGTCCTCCCAGTGATGTTTCTTATTCAGGGAGTAAAACAGAGATCATCCAAAACAACACTAGCTACATGAATACACTGGAGAGTAGAGTACAGATGTATCCGCACTTGCAATGAGATCTTAAGCTGCAGAGGTGCTGTTGGCCAGATGTTTATGAAACTGTTCTTATTTCAGCCGCCAATATTGTGTTTACGGTAAATGAGAGGAGCGCAACACCCTCACAACCCCACCTACTGCAGTGTAGGAGTGTTGGAAAACAGTATACGTCACTCAGCCTTTTCAAACATAATTCAGAAATGAGCAAAACTCTGTAGACACTGATGAGATCTGTACAGTTTCTCTCAAGTGTGCATCCACTTTTGTGTTTTCAGAGGTGTTAACTGATGAAACCTCTTGTCACATTGTGAACACTTGTACAATCTCTCCAATGTGAATCATCTGGTGCAATTTCAATTTTGGAGCTGTAAGAAAAGTCTTCTCACACTCAAGCACATATACTCTTTCACACCAGTGTGGATCTTCATGTGTTCATTAAGGTTTGAGGAGTTGCTGATACTCATCCCACACCGAAGCTGCAGTCACACTAGAGTTTGAGCATGCAAAATTCTGTTGTTAGGTTTCTCTCCAGTGTGCATCCTCAAGTGTACATTACGGGATGATGATTGGCTGAAACTCTTCCCACACTGAGAGCATGTGAATGGTTTCTCTCCACTGTGGATCCTCATGTGTTTATTAAGGTGTGATGATTGGCTGAAACTCTTCCCACACTGAGTGCATGTGAAAGGTTTCTCTCCACTGTGGATCCTCGTGTGTTTATTAAGGTATGATGACTGCCTGAAACTCTTCCCACACTGAATGCATGTGAATGGTTTCTCTCCAGTGTGGATCCTCATGTGTTTATTAAGGGATGATGAGCAGCTGAAACTTCTCCCACACTGAGTGCATGTGAATGGTTTCTCTCCAGTGTGGATCATCATGTGGTGATTAAGGGATGATGATTGGCTGAAACTCTTCCCACACTGAGTGCATGTGAATGGTTTCTCTCCAGTGTGGATCCTCATGTGTTGAGTAAGGTGTGATGATAGGCTAAAACTCTTTCCACACTGAGTGCATGTGAAAGGTTTCTCTCCAGTGTGAATCATCATGTGAATCTTAAGATTGCTTTTTTTCTTAAAACTCTTTCCACACTGAGTGCAGATAAAACGATTCTTGTCTCTCCTTTTCAAAATACCATCAGTCTTTAAATGAGTTTTTTCCTCAATTTTGACATGATGTTCCTCCTCTTTACTCCCTTCAATCTCTTCAATTAGGTCTGAAATATATATTTCAAAAAAAAAAAAAAACATTCGTTTTCATTAAGTCTTAAAAACTCATCAAAAGATGAAAAGTGAAAAGACACAGGAAACATTGGCTACACACACTGTAATTTTGAAGCACATTAAATGTAAAATAAATCAGATCATATTGTTTGGTCCACATTTAAGCAGATAGAATTAAATTCATCTTTATTTATCTAGTGCTGTCACAATGTAAATTGTGTCAAAGACGCTTAACATAGAAGTTATAGTAATTTGAAACTGTGTCAGTCCAGTTTTCAGAGTTTCTTACATAATTGATCATAAAAGTCATTTTGGTCATATTGATAACAGAGATTTTAAAGCTGTAAATGGCCTGTATTTATTCATAATTACAACAAAATGTTTTTCCAAAATTTGTAAAGCAGACAGGGAATACTTGTTCATTCTGTGCCTGACTGGTAAACGCATCAGAAAAAAGTTAAGGGGTAACAGCTGAACTAACAGCTGAATATTTGCCACACAGACATGAGACATACAGCATCTGCATAAAGGCTGAAATGTGCACCTTGGGTTATTTTCATCCATTTTGAGGGCCAAAACTTTCACTGTTCCAGCAAATAGACTGATATTTGGGGACATCTTATTCTGACATATTATGGGAAAATGCTTTGAAATAATACAAAAAAAAAATCAATACACTCTGGGCAAATTTACTCCCTCTTTGTTATATTCAAGGCTGTTTTTTCGCCATTGGCCTCTATTATAACAACATTTTTTGATTGCAAAGCCATGACAGCATATAATCATGCATTTATGATTGTGGTGTTTTCTGTGATGACACTCTACATTGTTTAATTGGTCTCTACCCATGGGACGGCAAAAAGGAAATGGGTGAGAGTATAAAGGAAGAGGAGAAGAGTTAAAGAGGGCAGCATGATGTGGTGTGCGGAAGAAAGAGAAGTTGACTGAACTGTTGTAGTGCGGGAAAACGAGTAGAGAAACCGGGTCAAGACGAGCAATGTAAACTTAACGACTGGCTATGAGAAACAAAAAGCAAAAGTATGTATTGAAGCAACAGGGCAAAGACTGCTGTCTTATTACTGAAGTGCTCGTGATGTCGGCAAAGTCTTCAGTGCAGTGTGTCCTGAACAAAATTAACTTACCAATTTATCTCGCTGGCATGGAGTCAGCTGCAACTCACCGGTTGAGTTTGTTGACGCCCTCAACTTTCACATCCACACCTCCACATCTGCCAATTTCCCTTGACCCCTCCTCTTAGTCGGTAAGAAGCTAAAGTTTTTGTTTTCTTTGCCCAGATTCTAATTTTGTTTCTCTTGTTAAGTTTTCTCCCCGTACTATTATTATCAGTATTATTTTTCCCCGTTATCAAATCTGACGAATCTGCTGGTCTGAAATAATTAGCAATTTTTCCATTTGATGCGAATGGCGTGGTGTGAATGGCTCAATACACGTAAATGACGCGGTGCAAATGAAGCATTTTGCGCGTTTCACGCGAAATGCTCAAGTTCAAAAATGTGAACATCTATATGCATCTCATGTTTGTGTGTTTTGTTTTCATGAAGTTACAGTGCATTTTACTGACACATTTCCAAAAACAGTTCGCAGAGAAAGAAAAGACAGAATGCCTACACTGTTTATTATCCTTATTTTGCAAAAGCACACACTTTTTTTGTCATTGTAAGTGTGCACAATAAAAACTAGACACTTAACAGATTCAATTGACATATTGATCTTATCTGTACGATCAAAACTGAAAGTGTAATTTAAGTTCTTTTTGGCGTTATGAGAAGATGCATCAAAAACGTGCATACGTGTTCTTTGACCCTTGGGGGTTAAACACCTATTGGCCCGTTTCCACTGAGTGGTACGGTTCGGTTTGGTACGCTTTTATGGCCGTTTCCACTGTCAAAAGGCGTACCGAACCGTACTATACCACTTTTTTGGCACGTTTTCGAAAGGGTACCAAACATGAGAAAGGGTACCATAAGGCGGAGCTAGACCCGCAACTGAACACTATTGGTTTACAGATACGTCATTCACTTAAGCAACAAGCCAGAATGAAACAAAACACCCACCACGTTTAAAATACATAGTTGACGAGCTAAGAAATTACAGTGGAGTTATACATTCATATAATATTGAGCCATGGTCGATCCAGGCTCAAACAAACCTAGTCATCATCTTGATGAACAGCCACAAAGCCATGGAGTAGAGTAGAATCTATGTGCCTCGTAGTTTTTTACGTGCCAGTTTGAAGCACGAGCGGTTTTGCTTTCTTGCTTGCGTTTAACGCGCGTCTATATTTGAAATATCAAACTTCTTGAGCTTGTGATAATGACGTGTGCTTGATTATTGACGTGCTTTTAAAACCCGATCCTGTCAGACACTGACAAACGCCAGAGTGAAGCGCGAAAAAAAGGAGAAGTGGGGAAAAAAGGAGCACATTATTTCTTCAGCATGGGTGAACAAACTGTCTTATTTCAATTTTTATCTTCACCTTTTGGACTAATATGAACTGGGAATGATGGAATTACTCTCTAACAGAGGCTACACGTGCTGCTGAGGATTACAGACACAGATGAGAGGTTTTCTCTGACTGTGGGCTATATTTTATGTTGTTTTGAACCTAAATAAGGATGAAATGTCTGCTGTGTGGAGTTGTTCTGTAGTTTAAACACATCAGAGATTGTGAGGGGTTGTATGTGTTCATATATATTCATTTATTTAATATAATTACAGATGTTACAGTAGGCTATTTCGCACTGATCATTGATCTGCAGTTATAATCAAATCCTGTTCATAGAAAAGTTAGTAATAAACATTTATACAGAAGTATTTATGTGTGTAAAGCATCTGTTTTGCAAGAAGTGCTTTTCATATGATATGTAAGCGACCCGTACAGCTTTACTGAAGACATTTCCGAGGTATGCAAAGGATCAGGAATGGATTGCGCTAAAAAAAAAAATGCAATCATCTAACACGTGCATCGCTCTCATGCCATGTTTTCAAGTATAAATTCGCATCTGAATGCTGCTTTGAAAATAATAAAATTATTAAAAAGCACATTAAAGACTATACACATAAAATAAAACATTGACAAAGGTGTATCTTATGGAAAAACACCAACTGATAGGCGCTGCTTTCGTGTTTTAAAGGGCACCAAGGTTACCTCTATTTTCAGATTTAAGATGAGTCTTATGCGCCTCTAGATTGTAACTGTAAAGTTTTATCTCAAAACACCCTTTAGGTTTTTTAATACACCTTTTATAGAATTCTATCTTATACCGTTTTGCACCAGGTGGCGGTTTTGGGGTACTGTGCCTTTAAGGCTAGTCCTCCCTGCCCACCATTTCTACGTGCCTTAATCTCCCTCGGCTGCGTCACAAGACAGACGTAACATATTTGTTCTGACATTCGGCTGTGGTGATATAGTGAAGCTGAAATAAATCACTGTAATTCATTACACACATGCACTGTTTTAAAACATTTTAAACTTGTAAAAATCACTCTTCTTGATCAAATTTGATGAGGATTGATGATCCAAGCAAACTGAACAGACCGTTTATTCCCGGTTGCTTTGCGCTCATCCTGTCTTGTTGATTTGATTATACACGTGACTCCTAGAACATGTTAATATGCAGCTGTCAATCAATTCGGTGGGCGGGGGAACCGCACTCCTACGTAAAGTTGCGGTCGGTCTGAAAACCGCTCCAATTGGTCCACTGTTTTTATGTTGTTAAATAAAAAAAAAAGGACTGGGTGTGTTTATATCACCCCAATATGACGGTCTATACACTATACCAGTGGTTCTCAAACTGTGCTTCCTCCTAGTGGTACGCAGAGGAACCGCTGAATAATGAAAGAAACAATTAACACTTTTAATCCTTTAATGCGTAATATAACATCGATGTGATCAGCATTGGCTGTTTTGTGAAGCGTACGATCACAACGCTGTGCTTAGAATGTTTATTTTAAAGCATTGTGTCATAAGCTGCTATAAATCAGTTTCCGAAGTTTAAGAATTGATTCTGAAGCGTGATTTGACTGACATAACAAGTAGCCTATCACAGTCGACCTTGTCTAGTTGCGTGAAACTTAAGGGCGGGACAAATGCATTCTGTGTTGCAGAGACAGAGAAAACAACTTAAAAACAAATGTTTTGTTGGATTAATGCTTCTCGGATGTTTTCACTATAGAGATGTCTAGCAGAGTAATTAAACCGCGGACATATTTCCTGCCTTTTTGATGATCTACAAACACGTTTCGCTCTCCGACAGCCAGTCGACTCGCCTCTGACCTGTCACTCTTCTAAATACATCCTGAATGGCGGCGCGGGAATGGAGGTATTGCGCAATAACTCATTTCTACAAATGTGGCGAGTGCTTTATTTTAACACGAGAGCGCATTCATGTACGCAAATCGCTAAAACAGATATGTGAGCTCTTAAATAGGCTTTTTTTTTTTCAAATGAACTGCAAGTCCTCTCAGGATCGCCTGTGTGCTCAGATTTAACACAATCGCGATCTTTCCACTATAAGTAGACAATATTTATCTTTGCTCCTTGACTAAATTTAGTCAAAAGTATTCAAAGTTATCAAGTATTTAGAAATAGATTGATACATGATCGATGACAATGCTAATGGTCTTCTTATTTGGCTGTGTTGTGAAGTGAAACTAACTTTTAGCAAAGGTGTATTTTTTTATTTACGACAAAAGAATTATGCTGGAAATGTTTCTGGATGAGGTATTTGTGTGATTTATACATTTAGCTGTACTCTGATCTGTCTTAAAGCATTACAGGTCAAAGCAATCTGTTGTTACTTATTGTTTATTTATCAAAATTAACAATTAAGGCTCTTAAAGCACTGCTTTGATAAATGTAGTGTTGTCATAT